TATATATATATATATATATATATATATGTCTGGAGCAAGAACTTCAGTCATTCTGCCTATGAGAACAGTGAAGCCAAGATGGCGCCATTGTCGTCCAATAGCTCTGAAGGTCGTAAATAGTTTTTATACCATTTTCCACAACTTATTCTAGTTTTTTTCTAACGGACTGTATCGCTACAGGGTGTTAGCTAGCCCGTATACTGTCCGTTTGACGGACTCTTCCCAATTGAAGTAGTTAAGTGGGACCAACTGGGACTATTGGAAGATTTTCATTTTTTCTGATGAGAGTTTGATTTTATATTATTATATCAAAGAACGTTTTATTTACTTTTTCCCATTAACTATTTTCTCAAAATGTATCGCGTTTCATTCATATTGGGTGTGTATTCACTGAAATGGAATGTACAAAACAAAGTGTAATCGGTGTGCATCCGTGTTCATTAAGTCACCAGAAATGAAATATACAAAACGAAGTGTCATCACGGGTGAATTTTTCAGTGTTCATTCACCAGAAATGATGTGTAGAAAACCAAGCTACCGTTGTATGCATCTAAGGAGAAAGACACTATTTATTCCTACACAAGGACTTTGATCGGTCAAAAAAGCTTTCCCAATTTACGTTTAACGGACAAAACTTTTTTTCTGGCTAACACCCTGCGCTAATCAAGTTTTCAGTTCATGAAATCATAATATTAGTCTTTAAATCAAAGTCAAAATACGAAATTTCGGCGGCACATTCCTTGCCAAGATGGCGGAAATTGAAGGGGCTATTGGACATGTCAGTCCCGAAGCTGGCTTCACTTCTCGCTCCAGATATATGGAGTTCACTGTCTTACACTTGCAGTCAATAGTGATTGCCTTGCCCCGCAGGCGAATGGGTTATTCCAGCTACAGACTGAATTTTGATCAAGGCAAGAAGAACGAAATCCAACACCACAGCTAGAAAGAGCGTCTTAGAACGAGTAAAACTGCAAAGATTGGTTGATAAATGTTGTAAAATGAAGAAAATATAGCCCTGTGAAGTTCGCAAGTTTTGTGATATATTTGTATTACGCGCGGTAAAAATAACCACTTTTGGCTCAAGAATGGTTATTTCTCCCGCGCGTGATGCAAATATATACAAAATTTGCGAACTTCACAGGGCTATAGTTTCCTCATGTTACAACATTTTGCAACCAAACTTTGCAATTTTACTCATTTTAAGATGCTCTTTCCAGCTATGGTAATGGATTCGTTCTTCCTGTCTAGATCAAAACTTCGTCTATATAGCTGGAAGCCTGGAATCATCCATTGATTTAACCTTCAAACGTTTTTTTAATGTAGTCCTTTCAAGAAGTGGCGTGTGGTCAGACGGAAGATCAGAAATATTTGACGGAACAAGCAAGACAATTCGTTTACAGACAGACAGCTCGTTCGCTGAAATTTACGCCACACACTTACGAACCAGAAATGGCCATGGTGTGATTATATTATGCACATAACCATAACAAAAAATTTCAATGAAAATGAAGATCTAGAATGTGCCTTTGGGCAGCCATTGATGCACTTTAAAAGCACATAAAACTATTGTGGAATCTGAAGAATATAGTGCGTTAATGCTTTCCAGAAATTGAATTAAATGGACTGAGTCCACCAGACACTACTGTTTTACATAGGCTACGTTACACTATACAGAATAGCACTCCGGCTCCGTAGTGGCGCGAAAAAGCATCTATCCGATACGAAATGTACAACTTTCCGAAGCTGAGCGAAACAACATCTCTCCTTGGCAATAATTCCTCTGAAAATAGCGTTCCTAAAACCTGTACGGATAGGTGATTAGGGACTGGTCATAAAGTAACTGCTAGGGTGGGCTGGAGGTAAATCACAAATTTTGCCAATAAGTTTGGTGAGCCATCTTCGGATGAAGATAAAAATTTCAAAGCCCATCTAATCTTACAAAAAAAATTTTCATGACCCACCCAATTTAAATTGGGAAAATACACTTTTATAATAATAAAAAAACTTGCAGGTATGAACATTGTAAATATACACCGGCACTGTATTGACATACACTGTACATAATTTCACCAAGCTTGACCAACACATTCATCACCAATTACGATACTGAGCTGCTCTCCAGTTGGTTGTATTTGCCGTGATTCGACCAGTTCTTGTTGTTGTATAAACAAAGTACTGGCTTCAATAGCATCATTTGCATTTGATAATTTGGATAGTTTTGTTTATACTTTTATTATTAATATCTTTATTTTTGAAGTAGACATGCATGAGTTTTTGTTTGGTGGCCCAACCGTGGACATACAAAAAAATTGGTGACCCATCGAAACTGCCAAAGATTTTCCATGGCCCATCCCAAATCACTCCAGCCCACCCTAGCAGTTACTTTATGACCTTCCTTAGGTGTTTTTCACGTCACTACGGAAAGCTATCTCCGCTGCACGTTTGCTGTGGGTATTGATTGCAATGCAGAATTTTTACACATGTCAGCGACCTACAGTTTGTGAAACGAACGCAGAAGAGAAGATTATACGGATTCCGTGAATATATTTGAGAATTTATAGTGCAAAGTTGTAAAATTTCACAATGTAATTGCTGTTCAGCTATTAATCAATCTCTACTGTGATCGGCTTTGTTCGCTGTAATAAAGGTTTTTAAATTAGTTGAAAATGATGTAAATTAATAAAAAAAAATGTTTGGAAAAACATTGTTAGTCAAAGTAGGTTGTGTTTTTTTAATCTATCGTGAACTGGAGAAGAACTTCATTACATATTGCTATGATTTGAACACTTGAAAAACCAAGTAATATATTTCTAAAAAAAAAACTTAGAATTTTCACCTCGATACGGGGTTCTTATTCCGGGACCTTGTCTCCGGTCGGAAGAAAATACCGAGTTCCTAACTTCCTGTAGTCATCACTCGATGGAAGTAAAATATTGAGAAGTTATATAATTTGAAAGGCTTGGATTTCATTTATTTTAAAACTTTTGCATACAATAAAGCATTGATCTCGTCCTACGAAGTTTCGATCTTATTTTAGTGCAATACTGAGCCGTATTTTTACGCACAAATTTAGAAGACTGTAAACAGTATTTCTTAGACTAAAATGACAAGCAGATAGCATGGTTTGAAGTAAATGAGATTGTTTTTGCCTTATTTGAGGCAAGGAAGGACGTATTTCAGTGCAACTAAGCCATTCTTCACTGCAGGTAAGTCGAATAAAGTTTATAGAAAATCGTATATTGTATTGTGCAATTTGCTACTAATTTATTATTTCACTTTGTCTAACGCCAGATGATTTTACTCGTCAAGGGGAGAGTTTGTTATTATCTATCAAAGCATCCTCATAGCCAAAAGATGTACAGCCATGCTGCATTGTCTTGTTTAATTAACAGCCGTGCTCGTTTACTGTTCTTAAGTCCCTAGAGATTTTCGTACCATGGCATGATAAACTGTCAAAGTTGACCCAGTCGACCTTTTAAAGATGCTGTAAAGTCCGTTCAGTGACATCAGGTTTGCCATAACCAGCTAGCTGAAGGCAATTTCCGATACATTCCACCATGTGTATTCCTGGTTGCCGGGAGGTGAATCTTTTAAGCCAAGCTCGTCAAGAGTACAAAAATAGTTATATAGAAAAAACAGGTTGTAAGATCAACTTTGACTCCAGGTGCCATCAGGCATGGATTTCCTGGCGTGGGGGGGGGGAGGGGGGCAGAAATGATTTGCACCCCCCCAGAGGCATTTGGCACCGCAACAAAATGTTTTTGCACCCCCGCAAATTATATTTATTTTGATTTGATAGTTTCATATTTGATTATTCTTACTACTAAATTTGTAAAATTACCAATATTATGGTCTCAGATCTTGCCATGCAGGCCTAGAAAACAGATTTTGTTAAACTTTTTCCTTAGCTTTTCCGGGCGTTCCCACGCCCTGGCCAAAGCAAGCAGCAGCACCCCCCAGATATTTATCCAC